GGATGGGTTAGCCTGGTGATGGGTATTAAAGAGGGCACGTGTTGAATGGAGCACTGTGTGTCATACACAAACAATGAATCATGGAACACTACATCAAAAACTAATGATGTAATTTATGGTGATTAACATCACATAATTTAAAAAATAAAATAAAATAAAATGGTACAGATGGTTTGGTGGTTCCTCAAAAAAGCTAAATTTAGAATTACCATACGACCCAACAATTCTACCACTTGGTGTGTACACAGAAGATCTGAAAGCAGGAACTCAAACAGATTCCTATACACCATGATCACTATATCATTATTCACAGCAGCCAAAAGGTGAAAACACCCAAGTGTCCATCAACAGATGAATGCATAAAAAAATGTGTTATATCCATATAATGGAATATTATTCAGCCATAAAAAGGAATGAAGTTTTGTACATGCTACAACATGGATGAACCTTGAAAATATTAGGCTAAATGAAATGAGCCAAATATAAAATGACCAATATTATATGATTCCACTTATATGAAGTATCTAGAATAGACAAATTCATAGATTAAAGGTTATTGGGGGGGGAGCAGCGCCTGGTGGCTCAGGTCATGATTTCAGGGTCTTGGGATCGAGTCCCACCTCTGGCTCCCTGCTCAGCAGAGAGTCTGCTTCTCCCTCTCCCTCTGCCCCTTCCCAACCCTGCTCATGTTCTCTCTCTCAAATAATCTTTTTTTGTTTAATAAATAAAGAAATAATTAAAAAATAAAGATTACCAGGGGCTAGAGGCAGAGAGGAATGGGTAGTTATTAGTTTCTGGTTACAGAGTTTCTCTGTGGGGTGATGAAAAGTTTTGGAAATCGTGGTGATAGCTGCACAGCATTACGAATATCATTAATATCACTGAATTATACATTTCAAAATAGTTAAAATGATGGGACTCCTGGGTGGCTTAGTCAGTCAAGCATCTGCCTTCGGCTCAGGTCATGATCCCAGGGTCCTGGGATTGAGTCCCATATCGGGCTCCTTGCTCAGCGGGGAGCCTGCTTCTCCCTCTGCCTGCTCTACGTGCTGCTCCTCCTGCTTGCGCTCTCTCTCTGACAAATAAATAATATCTTAAAATAAAAGAGTCCTTATCTTTAAAAAGAATAGTTAAAATGGCAAATTTTACATAGATATATTTTACAACAGAAAAAATTTATTCTTCAAATCTTACAAATTCAATGATTCCTTTTCTGTTCCTACAAATTTTAACAAATTTAAGACAAAAGGAGATATTTTTAATTTCGTGCTAAAGGTATAAACCCATAAGCACCCAAGATCGAAGGGTCACAGCAACGAGATCAATAACAATATAAACAGCTCCCCAGTGAGTTTTATATAACTATATGGTATAATTCAGTCTTTAAAATTGTACTATCGGGTGGCCCAGTCAGTTAAGCGGACAACTTCATTTCAGCTCGAGTCGTAAACTCAGGGTCGTAAGTTCAAGCCGTGCATTGGGCAACCATGCTCTATGCTAGGCATGGAACCTACTTTAAAAGAAAAAAAATACACACACACACACACACACACACACACACACACACGATCTCAGGGGATTTAAAGAGCTCTCAAGAGACTCAGGCCTCTTCCTAGGCCAGTGCTCTCACCAAGGAGAAGGCCATGTTCAGTTCAAGCACAAAGACAGTGAAGCCCAATGGCAAGAAGCCGGATGAGCTTTAATCCGGCATCTCCCAGGCTCTCCTTGAGCTGGAGATGAACTCAGACCTCAAAGCCCAGCTATGGGTGCTGAATATAACAGCAACCAAGGAAACTGAAGTGGGTGGTGGTCAGAGAGCTATTATCATCTTTGTTCCTATTTCTCAACTGAAATTTTTCCAGGAAATCCAAGTCTGGCTAGTCCAAGAATTGGAGAAAAAGTTGAGTGGGAAGCCCATTGTCTTTACAGCTCTGAGGAGAATTCTACCTAAGCCAACTCAAAAAAGCCATACAAAAAATAAGTAAAAGTGCCCCAGGAGCCACACTTTGACAACCCATTGAATGACACAATCCTGGAGGACTTGGTTTTCCCAAGCAAAATTGTGGGCAAGAGAATCCACGTGAAACTGGATGGCAGCTGACTCATAAAAGTTCACTTGGGTAAAGCATAGCAGAACAACATGGAGCATAAGGATGAAACTTCTCTGGTGCCCATAAGAAGCTCACAGGCAAGGATGCCAACTTTGAGTTCCCAGAGTTTCAGCTGTAAACAAAAATGATTAAATAAAACATTCATGGCGTGCCTGGGTGGCTCAGTCATTAAGCGTCTGCCTTCAGCTCAGGTCATGATCCCAGGATCCTGGGATCGAGCCCCAGGTCAGGCTCCCTGCTCTGGGGGAAGACTGCTTCTCCCTCTCCCACTCCCCCTGCTTGTGTCCCCTCTCTGGCTGTCTCTCTCTCTCTGTCAAATAAATAAAATCTTAAATAAATAAATAAATAAATAAATGAATAAACATTCACAGTAAAAAATAAATAAATAAAATAAATAAAATTGTAATATTTTGGGTGTGGAGAATAGGAAGAGGTTGGTAAAAAGATACGAACTTTCAGTTAGAAGGTGAATGAGGTCTGAGGATCTAACATATAACATGGTGACTATAGTTGATAATAGTGTATTGTATAAGTGAAATTAAGAGAGTACAAATTAAATATTCTCACAAAAAAGATAAGTACGTGAGGTGACAAATGTGTTATTTAACTCCATATGGGGGGAATGCTTTCACAATGCATACAAATATTAATTCATCATGTTGTATACTTTAAACATCTTAAACAATTTTGTCAACTGTACCTCAATAAAGCTGAAAATAAAATAAAACTATAATATCTCTTATTCAAGTCTTTTAAAATTACTATTTGAATGGAATGTCACTGAGTCATAGAATACCTACCTTTCCAAATCCATGTTATAATGTGGGACAAATTATTTGGCTGCTCTGAACCTCAGTTGCCTCATTATTAGCAGAGGGCTATTGCAATCTGCTGTGTCCCTTGGATAGTTATATTAAAAGAAATAATATGTGAGAGCACTCTGAATACTACAAATGTAAGCTATTATTAGATTTGAAAAAAAAAGGAAAGCATTTTTTTGTCATTCACTATTTTTACATATTGTCCTCCTACAGAATTCTTACAATAGTCTCCAGTTGTTGACAAATATTTCTATCACAGTCACGAAATCCTAATAAATTTCAGGGGTAAGAAAGCACTTTGAAAATCATCTAAACCAATGTATTCAAAATTGTAAAAAAAAAAAAAAAAACGATGTAGAAAATAGTCCATGTTTTCAATAAATCTGAGAAACACCGGATTAACCAACATAAATTATTTCTGTATTACAGAACTTCTGGAGGCCTTAAGTATGTTAGTATACACTGAGTAACTCTAATGGGGGAAAGCAATACATAACATTTCCCAAACCTGTGTGACCACGGAGACTTTTCCTCACAAAGCCTATTGACATTCCTGGAACACAGTTCTGAGAACTATGAAGTTAGGGAGCCTGCCCAAAATCACACAGCTATACTTTCATTATATCAATAAACAATAAAATTATATCAATTTTACAATGCAAAATCAGTTGACATTTTCATTTTCTTTAAATCAGGCTAATTTTGGCTTGTTAAAATACTGATACTTACAAAGATTTTATTTTTTGCTGCCACCATTATCCTAGCACCATCAGTAGACCATGAACAGCATTTCACGATCACTTCCATATCCTCTTGAGGCTCCTCTGAATTTAGGAAGAACTGCTTCACATTAATGCTTTTCCTCTCGTTTGCTGATTTCACATCCCAAAGCTTCAGATTGAAAAATTAAAAAAATGTTTGTTTTAATCTCAAATCACACCTCTAGAATTCCACCTGGATTAAATGCAAATATTCACTTTTTCTAATGAACTGTTTTCACTTATGCATGACTTTAAAAATTAAGTACTCCAGCTTCATTCAGCACCTTCCTAAAAAGAAAAAAAAAAACTAGAAGCACTGCCTGAAATGCAAAATGCAGAATGTGAAACTAAATAAAATGTTAAAAACTCCTTGCATGGTGTGGAGTATGCTAAAGATTAAGTGTTGACAGTAAGATGAGACTAGAAGAAAGGTGAGAAGGCTCACAACTTGCATCTGCTGCCCTCTGCCGTGCCAGGCATGAAGTTCCCATCTACTATATGCACAGCCCGGACAACACACAGGGCCCAGGCTAAGCCGAGTTAAACACAGCAGAGCATCCAGGGACATAAGGAAGTCTCTGAAAATAGAAAACAAAGAATATACTGAAAGGAAGCAAGACACCTTGTGTGTTTGGTGGGGCCAGACAGAGCTCTAAAACAACTGGATCCTGAGGAATGGGATACAAAAGACTCTCAACCTCACTTACTAGGAGAGCCACCCGAACAGCACAAAAGAAACAGGCCTTCAAGAAGACCCATCTTCACTCCCCTGGGCCTTGAGCAGCATCCCAGCTTCAAAGAGTGATAATGGCTGCCATGCCCAGACCAAGGGTTGGCCAACGACATGGACAAAAAAAAAAAAAAAGAAAGAAAAAGAAAGAAAGAAAGAAAAGGAAAGGAAAAAAAAAAGCTGCTTCTTAGGTTTTAACTCAGCTTCCAAAGCACAGTTCCAACATAAAACCAGATTTCTGACCAGGCACATTTTTTTTTTTTTTAAGATTTTATTTATTTGACAGAGACATAGCGAGAGCAGGAACACAAGCAGGGGGAGTGGGAGAGGAAGAAGCAGGCTTCCCATAGAGCAGGAAGCCCGATGTGGGACTCGATCCCAGGACCCTGGGATCATGACCTGAGCCGAAGGCAGATGCTTAACAACTGAGCCACCCAGGCGCCCGACCAGGCAAATTTTTAAATCTCTCTCAAGTTTAGAGACATATTATATACACTAAGGAATACAGCCAATACCAAAACCTTTCCCCTTGCAACAAAACTGGATGAAGCAAGAGATATCAGATACTAAAACAGCCTTTCTTGATACTTAAAGAGAGAGGGAAAAAACCCTACATATAAATGCCAGAAGCTTCAGTCACATCAACTAAACATGAGAAATCATACTGTTTCTCTCTTAATATAAAAAACAAAGAAACCACTGTCTAGATTTAAGAAAGAAAAAAAAAAAACAAAAAACTAACACAACCCAATTTCATTACATCTGTCTAAACTACATTTCTGCATCTGGACCTGACTTCAGCTCCTATCCAACAAGTGATGAAATTCCATGTATCAAGGGACCAAGTAAATACAACATTTGATTTTGAGTAAGTCACTACATTGTATCAAGGCCCATGGGCACCCTGGCCCTTGTGTGTTTAAATGGCAATTTTTAAATAAAACTCACATTTTGAAATGGTTTATCAACAGGGCCTGAAAAACATGCTGATCAACATGATACCCTGCAAAATGCTTAGAAGATTACAGAGCCATTTGGGGCAGGAAATAATTTTACAGTTCTTCATCCTCTCAGAAGGCAAAAGCTTTAGAAGACTTTGACCTTGAAATGCTGTTATCCAACCTCATTTTGCAGGACCTCTGCTTACTACCTTTCAGTGTATCAGCACGAACCAGCTAATGATACTGGCTTAACAGCACTGTGGGAAAGCCGCCACAAAAATGGCAGTTCTCACCAAGAGTGCACTACTGTCTCCCCCCTGCTGCCAGTGCTCTGTGCTCTACAACCACATTTTGCTACTCACACATGAAGTCAAAATCCTGTCCCTGAAGACTTTTTAACATTTTTTTCTTTTGAGTTTGGAGAAGTCTTTTTTTTTTTTTTAAAGATTTTATTTATTTATTTGAGAGAGAGAGAGAATGAGAGACAGAGAGCATGAGAGGGAGGAGGGTCAGAGGGAGAAGCAGACTCCCCGCCGAGCAGGGAGCCCGATGCGGGACTCGATCCCGGGACTCCAGGATCATGACCCGAGCCGAAGGCAGTCGCTTAACCAACTGAGCCACCCAGGCGCCCTGAGTTTGGAGAAGTCTTAATCTGATTTGAAGGGGCACAGCAAAGGTTTATCATCTTGAACACATTAACAACTGTACTAGTCACTTTGAGACTATATAAATAAATCAGGTATAGATAGCTCTCTCAAAGAGTTTACAGGTCAATAAAGGAGATAAGACAAGCCATAAGTGACCCTAAGACAAGGTACATCAGATGTGTCATATGAGAGGGCTGATCTTCATGGTGTCCACCTCTGCAAAAACTGTTCTCTCAAGCCCACAGCAAAATGAGGTTGGATAAGAGCCTACTGTACACCAACTTAGGACAACAGAATTTCTAGATTCTAGGCTAAAAGGTCGGCATAAGCTAAAGTACAAAAGGAGAAAGCAAAGACAATAAAAAGGGAGAAGAGGCTGCAGTTTGGGTGCAGCATCAGGTGCCTGCCTGAACACATCCTGGACACAGCCCTCACCTGTTCTAAGAACACCCTTTTACCATGTCCATAGCCTCTCTCTCCAACTGGATTCTGAACAACTTCAGGCCAGGAATTAATTGTTTGGTGTTTTGTTTTGTTTTAGTATTTAAAACCCAAATGCCAGTGTCTGGCACATAGTAAGTATTTAATAAATAATCAAAAAACACATTTACAATACATTTATTAAATGTATTAAAATTCAAATGTATTAAATTACATTTTAAGTGAAAAGACATTTATGATGGTAAACTCCTAATGTCAGACTCTTCTCATGTTTCAAGCACAGGTGAGTAGAAACAAAGTGTTACTGAAGGAAATAGGGTTCAGGTTCAAGATGCAGATAGAACGCACAAACATTCATCTTCACACCCTCCCAAAACCCATGTAAAAAGCAAGAGTAAAGAGAACTCTCCATACGCGTAGTTCACAAGGCAAAGGAGAAAGGAGGAAGAGATAACAACAACAAAACTGTAAAGGCTAAAAAAACAGAAAGATAAGCAATAAGGAGACTCCTAAAAACTGCATCCTGAGTCCACCAGGGGGAAAGCCAAGAAGCAGCCCAATTCATAATAAAACTCCTAAAAGGCTAAGGAAGTGTTGCACCAGGTACCCTCTGATAAGGGTGGGGAAATCCATTGAAATCCCCTTCCCAATTATGTAATCCAGGTTGTTGTGTCCCTACTCTAGCTGAAGAATAGAGGGTTTTTCTACACCTGGCACAGTTGAGAGCAGAGTCACCATTCTGAAAATAGGGAAATTAAGAGAGAGTCTATATCCCAAATGTTGAGATCTCTACCTAAACATCTTCTTGCCAACCAGACTTATACCCTACAGGTAGGAAACTGAAGATTTTTCTCTGAATATCCAACAAGATCAAGACAAAAGATCTAAGGAGTCTGGCATTAGGAGTTTACTATCAAAAATGGCAAGCAGATAACCCCACAGAGAAACTCACAATAAGCAAGCTCACAATTCCCTATCAGCTTTTTGGTGCTGCACTCTTAAATATGAGCAGGATATATATCTAATACATATACAGATCTTCTTCAACTTACCATAGGGCCCAATAACCCCATCATAAGTTGAAAATGTATTTAATAACGTTACCTACGGAATATCATAGCTTAGCCTTAGCTACCTTAAATGTGCTTGGAACACTTACATTAGCCTATAGCTGGGCAACATCATCTAACAAAGCCTATTTTATAATAAAGTGTTGAATATCTCATGTAATTTATTAAATACTGTACAAAAAGTGAAAAACAGAATGGTACTATAGATACAAACAGGTTGCAAGTGTATCGGTTGTTCACCCTCCTGACTGCATAGCTGACTGGGGGCTACAGCTCAATGCCACTGCCCAATATCACAAGTGAGGATCATACTACATATCACTATCCAGGGGAAAAATTAAAATTCAAAATCTGAAGTACAGTTTCTACTGAATGTGTATCACTTTTGCACCATCATAAAGTTGAAAACTCCTAAGTCAAACCATTTTAAGTCAGAAACCATCTGTAGATACATCCAAGATCAGATAGCTAAGCTCTATCTTTAAAATGCAGACAGAAACCAAAACCAACAGAGAAAACAGCAATTATACATGAATATGAATTTTTTTAAAAGAAACTATTAACATTCACAAAAAGATAAAAGATACTAAATCCATGAAACAAAAATAGGAAAAAAGGAAAAAGGAAACTGATCATAAGAATGGGTACTTAAAAACATGACAACAGAAATTAAAAATCCAACAGAAGGATTAGAAAGTAAAGCTAGAAAATAAAGCTAGAGAAATCTTCCAGAAAAGAGGGCAAATGAACAAAGAGAAGGAGGGAAAATAATAACCAAAAAAACAAACAGAAATTCGAGAAAGAAAAGGTAGAGAAGAATAAATAAAAAAATTAAAGGAAGCCTATAGAACTGAAGTATTTGAATTTCCAAATTGAAAGAAGCCACCGAGGGGCAACTGGGTGGCTCAGTCAGTTGAACATCCAACTCTTGGTTTTGGCTCAGTTCATGATCTTGCAGTTGTGGGATCGAGCCCCAGGTCGGACTCTGTGCTCAGTGCAGAGTCGGCTTCAGATTCTCTCTCCCTCTCACTCACTCTGTCTCAAATAAAGAAAGAAAAGGAAGAAAAGAAAGAAAAGAGAAGAGAAAAAGAGAGAGAGAGGGAAGGAAGGAAGCAGGAAGGCAAGCAAGCAGGCACCAAGTGCCAAGCACAGTAAATGAAGACAAACCCACACCAAGGCACATTATCATGAAATTTTTAAAAAGAAAAAATACTGGAGATAAAGAGAAGATCTTAACCTGAGCTGCTTTCAGGATTTTCTCTTTGTCTCTGAGACTCGTAAGTTTTACTATTAGATGTTGG